CTTTCTCTGCCTGCATGAGAATTGCGCAGAGACTACAGGACTGGCATCGACGTGCAGTTCAGTTCAATGAGGGATCGAAGTACCGCAGTACTGGCGCTTGTGTCAGTGCGGTCTTCAGCGCATTGAATGCTGCTTGATGGTTTGCCAACCATTGCACGGGATTCTTTCTTGGTCAGTTCTCTGAGGTCGTGCGTGATTGTCGCGTAGTCGTGGACGAATCTGGACCGCAGTAGTTTGACATTCGAGGAGACTACGGATCTCGGACGCAGACTTTGGCGGTTCCATCTCCAGAATTGCTTGGATTTTCGATGGATCAGCGGCAAGACCTGCTTTCGAGAAGATGTGACCGAAAAATTCAAGTGATGTTTGTTGAACTCGCGCACTTCTCTTGGAGAGAGTGAGCCTTTTTCCCTCAGACGTTGGAGACGCTGCTCGGAGGATTCTCGTCGTGTGCCGTTTGGTCAGTTCCGAAAACGAGTATGTCATCGCCAGGTTGATGACACCATTGAGACCGCTAGGCTTGTCTGATGGCTTCTTAAAAAAACCTCGCAGCGCTACAGATGCCGAAATTCAACCTGGTGAATTGCTCAGGCCGACGTGTGTGTCGAACGTTGTATGTACCGTGTGGCCTCGTCGAGTTGCTAGCTGGTTATGCCTTGATTTAGGTCTAGCTTAGAAAACAACTGTCGCACGTGAGGTCGGTTCACAGCTCGTTGATTGGTAGGCGTTGAGTGCCGCTTCCTCTTTATTGCTGGTGTTTGGCACATCGCATGTCGATGCACACCCGGACTGTCCGTTTTCTTCGGGACACAGACCACTGGAGAGACGCCACGGTGTCGGCCGGTAGGTCGTTGAAGTACTCGAGGTCTTCATCTGCTTGAAGTTGGAGCTTCAAGTCTTTGCGCACGTGTGAAATGGAACGCGTCGATGTGTCTGTGCTACAGTTGACGGTTTCATCAATGTGTAGTGACGTTATAGTCCTTCAGCTTACCCAGCCAGTGAACAGGTCGATATATTCACTCACCAGTTGTTCTGCGTTGCGTTCTTCAATGGCGTTCACACAGTGTGATAAGCTTGAGTTGACGTGATGTCTGCGCAACTGAGAAGTGAGGCGCTTCCGTTGGCGTACTATGGTGAGTGTTGCATCACTGACCTGTTCTTGTATGTCAGGCACGATGTGAACTCTCCAAGCGTTTGCAGTGTGTCGTCTCGCCATAACGCGTATATCCTTGCTGAAGAACGTTGTAGCGGCGGCGGACTTTGACTGGAGCGGTAGTGTTCCTCAGAGAGCAGGTTGACGCTTTGCTCCCGAGTCGCCATCATGGTGATGTGGTTGTTGCCAATGTTGATGTCAAAATGTGGTGAGGCGGCTTGACGCTTCTATGTTCACTTGTAGTGTACTCGTGTCTTCTACCTCCTCTATTTGTGCACTCTTGACGTGACAACTACAGCAGCAAATGGTTTGCTTTCCACAACTTCTGGACTGTACTGGCGTCGTCTTGCACTACTTTATTTCTTTACGTTATCACCATTTTTCTTCCTTCTAGCGCTTGACCCATCCGGACATTTCTTGAATCCACCTTGGTGTGGCACTGACCTCCACAGTTCCGGCACTTTCTTAGTGGTGCTGTTTGGAGCTGAGTTTTGGATGGCGAGTGGTGAAATTCCGCAGGCTGTTTATGACATGCTGTTTTGACTTTGATGCGAACGTTGGTTTTGTTCCGGCTTAGGAGATTAACACCCTTACTCTTGATCGCCTTGGAGTGTGCATGTGTGACTTCCAGGTTGCGGGCGTATTGCAATAGCTGGTCTAATGTTACGTCCGATCCACTCAGCCCCTTGTCACGCACCTTGTCTAGCGACAACCATGATGATCTGTGACTTAACCTCTGCATTAGGCTCGCAAACTGACAGGTTTTGCCAGTTGGTTTAAGGATAGCAGTAAAAATCTTCTATGTTGGGTGTATCCTGGACAGATTTTCTTGATAGAGGTATCTTTGAAATTCAATGTTGTTGGCTCGCGGGTTAAAATAAGCAGTGATGGCGGCAGTTACTCGCCCGTAAACGTCCTGACCTGGCCACAGCCTGTTTGACTCTCCGACCCTGGAATTTCCGGAGAGGCTCCAATAACTGCTGATCGAAGCTGTTCTACGATCGTCATTGAGCGTCAGAACCACCGTACATAAGCAGTAATCCCTTCTTTTGCACTGCGTTAACTGATGCCACAGCCGTTGAAAACGTTACATTCCAATCTACGCAGCCATTTCGTCCATCGGACATTTTTGCCTTCGGAATCGGCAATCAAACGGCTCGTACGGAGGCGGTTGTAAGCTGAATTGCTGCCATTTTCACTCACGTGCTTCCTTAGTGATCGTTTATCCTCGTCCCCAATGTAATGTTCTTATTGTTTGTTGATCGATGATATCAAACCATAATTGAACTCCGAATATTATAAAAACCCTGCGCAGCTGTCCAATCCATTCCCGCTGCTCCTTTATTTCTATTCCCGATGTCCGCTCGCGCAGCGTCACATTGCACACCAGGGAAAAAATATCACGGGGGCGGCGGCGATTTTCGCCCCCGGGAAATGCCAAAAAGAGCCCCAAAAATGATATCGGGGGGCGGACCCCAAAAGCGAAAAGTCGCCCTGGAAATCGATTGTCCAGGTCGGTCCCGGAGCGCCTTGGCCGATCTCACTCGGCCCTCTGCCGCTAAGCGACAGCCGTTCCCCGCGGCGGTAGAATTCCTGGTATGGTGGTGCTGTCAAGTGTTTATCCATAAGCATGCATGTGTGTACTGTAGCTGTATTGCATTCAAACACTAGAGTGCATAAATAGATATAGATCTCTAAATTATCACTCTTGATTCAATCAGCGCGCGCCGCCGCCGCGGTATATATAAGTGTGTTTCCTGTGGCGCGTTGCTTGCGTGTGTGCCTGTAGGGTGCGTGCCGTAGCGTGCCTGTGAGTGCCGGTGTGCGCTGCGCGCGTGCTTGCGTGTGTTGCCTGGCCGCAGTGCATCGTGTGCGCGTGCGTGCGTAGCCCTGCCATGCGTGCGTGGTGTGTGCGGGTGTGCCCTGCGGGCGGCCTACTAGACGCCGTAGATATAGAACGGTAATCCAATGGAAAATCCTAATGAAATACACACGTATATTTTTTTCCACCTGCGCACACATCGTCTGTCATTCCCGATTCGTAGCTTTTTGTCAATTTCCCGAAAGATTTTGCTGGTCGCTCTCTCATAGTCCAGCAATGCCAACGCTCTACATTTTAGTATGTTGATTAGTACCGACGCTGAACAATGGCGTGCCCTCCCCCCATGACTCAATCAATGCCGCACCTGCCAGCAGGCACGTACGCTAGCGCAGCGTCGATGTGGCAGCAGCCATTCACACGTCCTCGCGGGCCTGCTTTCAACCAGCCCTGAGCTTCCAGGGGCCCTTACGCGGGCCTTGACCCCCGCAGCGCGCTAAGAGACTTGCGCGTATAAACAGATCGATCCTCCTCGCATCAGTAGCAGGCAGACATTCCACTGTTTGTGGCTAGCCGTAATAGTTTCTCTGTGTTTAGCTGAACCTGTGATGTATTCACTAATTCAAGGTGCGCAGTTGTGGTTGTGATTGTGAGTTCCTGATTATCTATGTTAGTCGTTGTCAGTCTGATGAATTAACTGTCTTGAATATTGAGCTGTTGTGTCTGTGTGTGTGTCTGTGTGTGTGTGTGCTGTGTGTGGTGTGTGTGTGTGTGTGTGTGCAGTGCGTGCGTGCCTGGCGTGCGTGCGTGCGTGCGTGCGTGCCGTGCGTGCGTCTTGCGTGTGTCGGTGTGTGTGTGTGCGCAGCGCAGATAACCGCGAGTGTGTATAAGGCTACTGTGCTTGTGTGTAGCATTTGATGGAAAGCAGCCCTGAAAAAAGTCGCGCCTGGAAAGTGATAAAAAGAGCCTGGAAAATGAAAAAGTAGCCACTCCGAAATTTTGGGGGGTTTGCAAAAAAGGCCCCGAAAGAAAAAAATTAATTTTTTCACTGTTGCACACGATACAGAGTCAAGCATCGATCAAAGACGTAAACACTAGGCTGAGCATCAAGATATGTCTCCCAGGGTACTGCCGAACGTACGCCTGGGTAACGGTCCGGTATACCAGAACGTACCTGGTCACTATTTGATATGGTTAGAGTCAGGATTAGGGTTCGGGTTAGGGAGTAGGCGTAGGCGACTACCTAGACTCGTTAGTGGAGTAGGTGAGAGTAGCGGTCTGCCGTCTGGCAATATTAGATAGTACCAGGGTAACGTTCCGGTATACCGGACCGTACACAGGGTACCAGCAGTACCCCGAGGGACATAGACCTCTTAGTCTTACATTATATTTTCTATCATTACCATAGACATGATACATTGAATAGTGTTACTGTGTTACATTTAGCGGAGTGTTACATTTACTCAGAATTTGAACAATTAAAGGAATTGTGGAAGATGCTACTGTTGCTATACGGCTTGCTATACCTTGCGTTATATCACAGGCACCGGTCATAGTAGCATCTGGGCTGTTTCCAGGAGAGCAGTCAAACTCCGATTGTGATACTGGTACTTGTGTTGATTCTGACATTTTCTTAGGCAATTTCTAATTTTAATTCCCTAGTGGATTCGTTCCTTACCTATGAACTAGGTAAATATAAAAACGGAAATTTAATGTCTATTCTCATATATCTGCCGTTCTATATGAAACCACTTACACTACAGATTAATGAAAATCTGAAAATCATTAATTCAAAACAGTTCACAAAGGGCGCGGCCATTTATCATTATGTGCTGCGAAGATGTTCCACGCCATAAAACGCTGGTTAATATGTATGAAAAATAAATATTAATAAATTGATGTTGCTGTTACAAATTATTATCATAGTAGCAATAAGTATTAATTTTTATTTATTAATTAAAAAATTATTTAAAGCTATGTGGACAAAAGCGAAAAATACTGCGCGGGAGGCGAATGTCTCTGTGGCAGCCATGTTTTGTAAATGTGTACAGTAATGAAGTAGTCTACACTTCCTTATTCTAATTTCTAAGGAGAATTTTATGAGTAACGAAAATGGTAGCGATTAACAGCGTATGCGTAGAGTTTATACACATCATTTTTATCATAATTGTAAGTTTTCTTTGCATGTTTTTATTGTACTTAAATTATAATTCTTAAAATATCGTCTAGATCTTTTCATATTTCCGCTCTGTTAACCGGCAGTGACTTAGGCCTACACTTACACTGGGAGCTGTTGTATTTGTTGTTCGTAAATTCCTAGAATTTTAATGCACCGTACATAGTTTTCATAATTTTATCGCCGCTGTACGAGGTTTCTGTCAATGCCCATTGAATGGTGTCAAATGGTTGAATGATAAATAATTATCAACTTCTCATTACGTGCAAGTGCTGCTGTGGCAGAAGATGATTGGTCCATATGTGTGAATAGTAGTAGAAACAGTTTAGCAGGTATATTTGCTTGAATACAAACATATACACTTTTTATCTCCTACCTAAGATATATAATAGTGATGTCCCGATGATCGATTATAATCGAAAATCAATCAATTATAGTCTCAAATTCGATAATCTATTATCGGATTAATGTTGTATTTGTTGTTCGTAAATTCCTAGAATTTTAATGCACCGTACATAGTTTTCATAATTTTATCGCCGCTGTACGAGGTTTCTGTCAATGCCCATTGAATGGTGTCAAATGGTTGAATGATAAATAATTATCAATACGTGCAAGTGCTGCTGTGGCAGAAGATGATTGGTCCATAGGCATATGTGTAAATAGTAGTAGAAACAGTTTAGCAGGTATATTTGCTTGAATACAAACATATACACTTTTTATCTCCTACCTAAGATATATAATAGTGATGTCCCGATGATCGATTATAATCG